CTCTAGAAATGATGAAAAGAAGTTGTCATTCCAGTAACTCTTCCAACTAATTAATCTTATACCGAAAATATTTTTCATGCAATAATCACGTTCTTGATAAGTTGATTGCTGAGTGTCTCATTTTACCTTTGCTAAAGTTGCTGTGGAAATTCTTTCAAAAATAGCTTCATCAACAGCTTGATAAATGAAAAATAAAGCCATGTTGTCTTTCTTGCGATTCTCCTTTATTTCATTATTTTGTTGTTGAGCAAAAGTAGCTTGATCTTCGGGTTCAACAAATCCATTCTCAACAATTTCCCGTAAGTCTTGGAAACCATATAAAAAGCTTTTATTTGTTTACTCCATTGACTATAATTCTTCCCATCGAAGCGAGGAAGTTGAGGTTGCAACATATTGTTGTTGTTGGATGTCATATCATAACCCTGCTATAATACCAATTTGTTGGGAGGGTTTGATGAGTCTCAACCTTTGAAGGAAATAATATTTCAAATAGAAATTTAAGAGAAGAAAATTGTTCTTTCAAAACTCAACTTTGATGATTTCACATTTTTTACGATGATGAAATATTACAAATGAATAACTCTTTTTATATTATATTTGGTACATACGAATTAATCGCTAATAGATAAACTTAAAACACCCATTCAAGATGACAAAAAGAATGAATTCTCAACAATTTCAAAACAGACGCTCAAAACACAAAATACAAAATGAATTCAAAACTCAAAATTGAAACACAAAGAGAACAGCCCCTTAGGGATTTGTTGTTTGGGAGTTCAATTAGTGGATAAATTAATTTAATTAATATTAAAATGTTTAAATTATTATCTGATTTTTGAAAGAAAAACTTTCAAAATTGATTTTTGAATTGGACATTTTAAAACTCATGATATGTGTAATTTCCACTTAATTAAATTTGGTTCATAAATTAATTAATCTAGGTATATTAACAAGCAACTCAATTAATTAATTGATCAACACTTGTTAATTAATTAATTGATGATTTCATTGTAACCCATTAGGTTCCCAATCACAATGATTAATGATGTGAACAAATTTCAAATATACTAAAATACCAAATTCCAATTTCCAATCAACTTGAACACTACTATTAACAAAAAAAAAAAAAAAAAAGTACTGCA